AATTTGCGAGGACCTCTACTAGAGGTCCTCGCAATTTGCTGAACCCCACGGCCCACAGGCCGCTTGATTCTTGCACAACGCCGAGGGCGGGGGCGACGGGATGGTGGACGCGCACGCGCGCGTGCGAACGGCGGAGAGAGAGAGAGAGAGAGAGAGAGAGAGAGAAAGAGAGAGAGAGAGAGACAGAGAGAGAGAGGGGGGGATTGGCGGGGCGTCGGCTGTTCGCCTTGCCACCTCCAGCCCGGCGTGTTCCTCTTGAGCAACGGTAACACAAAAAAAAAGGACCCACTTCCAAAAGTACCGGTTCCCGCGCACTCACGGCCGTGACTGTACCGGCCTACGTGGCATGACTCATCTGCTGAAGGAAACTACTGTTTGTGCCCTGTGCACTCGCCCGAGTTTCAACTGAATGTTGAAGTCGGGCAGTGACTGAACTGCGAAAGGGGTGTTTCGAATGAAATTTTAAACCATTATCGTGACAGCGCCCTAGTTACCCCAAAAAAAAAAGGAAAAAAAAAAGGGAAAAAAAAAAGAAAAAAAAGAAAAAGAAAAGAAAAACAGCCCCATGGTTGGGCCACGGCCGGGATGTCTCGGCCACACCCCAGACTGGCCACGGCCGAGATGTCTTGGCCGCACCCCAGACTGGCCACGGCCGAGATGTCTCGGCCACACCCCAGATTGGCCAGGGCCGAGATTTCTCGGCCACAGCAGAGATTCGCAGGCACTACCCTTCACAGGCAATAGCGAAGTCTCAAGAGTAGCCTACTCCGAAAAGTGAAGGCCTCGGGGCAGGGATGGAGGCCAAAAAAAGAAAAAGGAAAAAGAAGAAATAAAAAAGTAAAGAAACGAGGAACTTCGAATCCACCTACATCGGGAAGGCCGTCAGGTCACCAGTGCTTTGACGAATGTATCTGGCCAGGAAGTGAGGAACATGAAACAGGTCGTTTTCCTTTTTTGTTTTTTGTTGTGAGGTCCCTATAGCGCCCTGCCAGCGAGGCAGGGCGGATTCCACGCTTCATTGAGTTCCAGACAAGTACTGTAGCATCCTGTATCGGACCGCAATCACAGCATAAGTGATGTCTTTTTTTTTTTTTTTTTTTATCTGCTGTTCGTGGATAGACAAGGGCCCTGACTGAACTGCTACGAAAAGGCAGCCCGAGTTTCAACTGCAATTGAAGCTCGGGCCCTGGCTAAACTGCTAAAAGGCATTTTCGAATGCAATTACAAACTGTTTTCGTGAATGCGCCGAAGTTACCCTTTTATTTAATTTTGTTTGTCCTACTTGTAAAAACAACATGCCATATTTTTCTCATCGGATAGCCCAAAAATCAAGCCTCGATGAAAAACCATTTGATTACCTCTACTGTGTCACACTGGTATGTGGTGTGTCGCACTGGTATGTGGTACTAGTGAGTATACTATGCAGTGTGCCAAATATTGTGACATCTTTTGATTTCAATGAACCAGTGCTGTGCCCCCATTCACCGTTCAGGGCCACGGTGAACGCAAGCCGGTCACCGGTCACGAAAAAGGTGACCGGTGGGAGTTCACGGAGTTCACAAAGAGCCGGAACTCCGTTTTTGTTTTTGTTTTGGCTGGTCGGGGGTTCTTTTTTTCTGCACAGCTGTGTGGTTTGTGTCAAAGGGCACCTGCCTGTATTTTTTTTTTTATCAAAATTGTTTTTTCACTATTATTTTTTTTTAAATAAAACAAATTGATTTGGCTGTGTGGGGCATTGTGAGGGTGTTTTGGGCCCTAAAAATAAAATAAAATAAAATAAAATTGATGACACTATGAAAGCACCGCACCATGTCATTGGGCGTCGTTCGACACTCCTCGGGGACGCGATTTCGAGGATTTCGTCATCGTTCTACCTGTCCTCAGGGCCGATTTTCGGAACAGAAATGTGAAAACACTCCGAGGACAGACCCTCGGGCTCCGAGGATTTCCCAGCCAAATCGTCCTCGGGTTCAAGGGACCTCGCGAGGTCCTTTGGAGCCCGAGGATCCGCGATTATCGGGGTGTCGGCGGCGGTCACCGAAGGGGCAACGGAGGTCGAAAGTGGTCCAGAGGTGGTCCGGAAGGCGGAAGACGGACATCCCGAGGCGTGGGCGTCCAAAACGTCGAGTAACGGCCTCGTCGTTTTACCGTCGGCGGTGATCGCCGCGGGACGGCCCTGTCAGTTCGTCGGGTGTCCCGGCGGAGGTGCAGTGGCAAGCATCAGACGTCTTCGGCCGGCTCCGGCAGTGGTCGGGCCGTTCCCGCGTGCTCCACAACGGTCGAAAAATACATATTTTGTAAGCGCCCTCCTGCAGCCAGCTTCGAGATTGCATGAATTTCATTCGTTGGCGTCTTCCCTCTCGCACCGTTTGTCTCCGTTCGCCGCGCTTGCCACAGCGCGAGTGCATCTTTTGTTTCTGCTGCCCTGTCGTTCATGGCAGACCTGTACCGCAGGCTGCCTTTGCTAGTGCTCGCCGTTGTGCTGCTGCTTGCCGTTGTCGTCTTCCATATTTGCTGCCTCGTGCGCGTTCCAGGGAGGAAACAGACGCGGCGAACGTCGAAGACAGCCAGGAAGATGGAGAGGGTACAGACGAGGACCACGCTGTCCATTGGGGCTGCAGGGTCGTCACGTCAGCGGTGCAGAAGTGCAGAAGCGGTCAGGCGGCCATACGACCCCGCACTGTACAGCCACCTGCCGTCCCACGAGATACTGTTGCCTCCAAGTGATGATGACGGCGACGACCCACGATGTTCTACCCTTCCTCTGCGCAGCGGTTCGACTCAGGATTGGATGGGGAGCCAGCTGTACAGGCAGGCATCGACGCCGACGTACACTGATCTGCTGGAGGGGCGTACCCCGGCTGGTTATGACGCAGGACTGGTGGATCTCAGCTTCGGATTGAGGTCCGGGAGTGCCGAGGAGGTGACGCGCACCGTTATCGTGAACCCAGCTTCGGGCAGCACCTGCACACCGGCTCCAGTGACAACGCGGACTGGCGGATCAGTTCCTTGTAGAACGACGACGGCAGGTGGCACAGTGGATGGACGACGCCCAAACGAAGAGTAGTCAGCAACGGAGGTTGTTGGTCGAAAGTTTTGGGATGATCATCGACGACAATCGCGTGAAGCGAGCACGGCCGGCATAAGAGAGGGGTGGCTAAGATTACCGTGGGGGCGGACGATATATTAGGTGATGAAGATGGTGCAGTTGCGGAGGAATGCGAGGAGGACGACGGGGTCGATGACGACGACGAGGAGGACGACGAGGAGATGGAGATTCGTCCAATAGGGAGAAAAGCGGGGAGGGTCGAGGACCGCGAAAAAGTTGTCGGAAACGCGAACGGGGCGGAGGGGGAAGAAGGGTGTGGAAGATGGGTCGGCTGGCGAGGGATCGAAAAGCCGGGATTCTTGGACCGTGGAGCACATGATTGCTCTCATCCGGACAAAAAGCGACCAGGATTCGCATCTTGCCGGCCTCACGCACACCACGGGAAGGAGGAAGACGAAGACATGGAAGTGGGACGACATGGAGAAGAGGCGGGTGCAAATGGGGATGACGAGTAGAAAGGTCGTCGATTGTGAGAAGAAATGGAACAACCTGTACCAGCAATTCAAAACCGTGCACAAGTTTATGGGAGAATCGGGGAAGCCAAATTTCTTCACACTAACGCGAGGCAAGAGGAAGGAGCGGGGGTTCGATTTCCGGATGGATGAGCGTGTGTATTCGGAGATGGCGGCGATGACCAGGAGCGATCACACCATACACCCCACCAATCTCGCCGACACCGGTGCGACTGGAGGTGTTCAAATGCCCTGCCCACGCGGAGGTCGGAATGAATCCGGCGGTAGTGAGGGGGGCGGGGATGGACAGGACGACGATCAGGGGTCCACGAGGGATTCTATGAGCGGCGGTGGTGTTGGCGGGGGCAGCAAACAGAAGAATGTGAGACAATAGACCTTCGACACGATTGCAGACGTGATGAAGGAGCACAGGAGTTTGATGGCGACAACCGTGGACAGCGCGAGCACGAGACAGTGCTCAATTCGAGCTAGGCAGTGCGACATTTTGGAGCGAGAGGTTGAAGTGCACAAGGAACACTACGTTAAGGCCTACCAGGCGAACTTGATGATGTGCGAAGCACTTATGGAGATTGCTAAAGTGATCCGCGAGCGATCGTGACGTCTCCCCGCCACGCGTGCCGTTATTGTCCTGCGTGCTGCAGTGACGAGATGTGCAGGTTGTGTACAGACGGCTGGTTACTTTTTGGCCGCACGGCTAATTTTATTTTTCAAGTATGCATTTATTTGATGATTTCTTTGTAGAATGGGTATGATTGCTTTCATGCCCCGCGGCGCGTCCTTCGGTGTTACACTACGTCGTCTGATTATAGAATATTACGACTGTTGTAGTGAGGCGTCGCCGACACGCATGGATGGCGAACTCCGGGGGTTTCGGAGAAGGGTGTGATTTTCGGGCGGGAGGGGGTCGTTGGTTTGGCGGGCTTTTTCGACCTCCGCCAGGGTCCTTCTGCGCGCCCACTTTGGATGTTGGCAATGCGAGGGATGACATGCGCTTGCGGAGGAAAATGGACCATGGGCGAGCGACAAAGGGGCGGGCTATAGTGGACGGGGACTCAAGTCCACGGTGTACTTTCACATCGTTGTACGTAGAAAAAGGACATTCCGTCTGCCATTCCGTACCGCAGTGGTTCCTTAGCCACGGTCCCCTCTCGCACCGTCTGCCTACCTGCTCGTCGTCGCGCGCTTGCAACTCCGCTTCGCCGCTCCACGCTCCCGCATCGTGCTGCGCGGACAATGCCCCTTCATGCGCATCAAACAAGTCTCTTCGCCCACGTGCCGCGCTTCAAGGACTTGAACGCAGCCTCCGTCCACGTGCTCCTTCGTCCACGTCATCGTTCGTGGACGTGCTCCTCCGCCAACGTGTTTCGTCGTCCGCGATCTCCATTTCCATCGCCATCGTCGTCGCGGCTCCACGACCACTGCTCCGTCATCTGCATCATCCACGTCGTCCTCCATCCACGTGGAAGCACTTGGAAGCAGTTAGGCGTCCTTCTTCCGCGTGCTCTTTCGTCACCGGCAACCTTCGTTTACCTTGTCGTTGATTCCGATTTGTGGACTAGATGCCCCCACGGGGCGCCTTTGCGAGGGGCAGGAAAGATGGCGTGGGGGGCGACGGTGGGGAAACCAACAAAGGAAGAGGCCACATACCGAAGTCGAAAAGGCAGCGCATCGATAACGCCAGCTCCTCACAAACTGATGACTTCCTCGCTGACGAAGTGGCTATGGTGGACGAGCAAGGGACGACAGGGGTCACAAGGTTGGGTTTCGGGCGGGATGGAGTGGCGAGGGAGCAGCTGCAAGCACTGAAACGCAGCATTGTTGGCGGTGCTTCCGGGACGGTGCCAAGGACCCCAAACACGGCAGGTGTTGTCGTCACGGGCGTGCTGGTCGCGGGACAACTTTTGCTGGCGGCAGGCCAAGGTCAGCCACGTCAGCCACTCCCCCTGCAACACGTGTTGGCATCAAGGGGAGGGCACATGGCGACCGCGCAAAAGGGTGACACGACGGCTAGCGCCAGTCGGGCGGCGGCGGCAGATCACACAGCTAAAGGCGGGGTCGTCGAAGGTGCGAAAGGGGAGGGGGTCGAAGACGTTGGCCGTGACGATGGCCGAAAAGACGGAAAGCGGGAAGGCAACGACGATGATGACCGTCCACTTCTGCCGAGGGGGAAGGGAGCGCCGAAGGAGGACGACCTGGAAGAGAAGGCCAAGTTGTGGGTTGATTGCGACGCTTTGTGGGGTCAGGGTCCCGGGAAACCTCTGAGGGAGGCGTAAGGCGAATGCACTGACTACTTTGTCGCCATCGCCAACGGAGACGCAGGAGCTGAGCTGCCACCGATGCTCATCATGCCGCCGAATGACGTGTCGCGCTTCAAGATCGACGACCCGGCGCAGCGTGATCCTGCTCTCCGCAGAGCGCGCAGCGTGGAGAGAGTAGTGCTGCGCACCATCCACGGTTGGATCTTTAAATCGCAGTCGAGGTCGACTGGCTTCTCTCGTGCAGAGTCCTACATGACCGCCGACTTCGCCACGGACCTCGCACAAGCAGTTTGGCAGGCCTTGGAATGGTCGAGAGTGGTATCCCCTGCACTCGTCTACCACACGTTGGCGATGAAGATGGACGTGCCTCTGTGGTTCGCGGGGGTGAAGATTGAGGACCGCCCAGAAGACGACGACATGGCGGCGCGGCAGGAGGCGACAATTCTTCTGTTGGCGGAGTGCAGGACAGATGCGATCTGGTGCGGACAGTGGGCGGATGGCGGGTGCGTAAAACAGGAGAGGTTGTCCAGGCTGGCGGACAGTCTGCGAGCGTTGTTGTGCACGGTCATGTGGATCATGCGCATGGGAGGTGACGACGACCGATCGCATTACGAGGCATGGTCGTACGCGTCCATGGTCGCGAAACCGACGATGATAGCAGCGGGGTCGTACATCTTCAACTGGCGCCGACACGTGGTGGACTCCGCCAACCTCATCCTCGATTGTCTAGGGAAGGCCCACCTGACGCTGGGAGATTACCCTCAATGCATTCCGGAATGGTGTGATTGTGGGTTGGCGTTCGGGCACAACGCTGCCCTGAAGAACGCGGCGGAGGCCGCAAAACACGGGTGGATCGGCAGCGGGCCCGCGGCGGACGACGATGGAGATGATGGCAAGTGACACGTCATCTCGAGCAGATGGCAGCGGGTTGGTTCGCATCGTCGGCGCTTCGTCGACGGTGGTGACGAGAGGAGGAAGTGTGCGCCTTCAAGTGGACACGGTAGCGCACAGGTGGGAAGGGTGTTGCCACGTGCTGGGGGTGGGGGGTGTGGCGAATAGGTGAGGTGGAAGGTCCTGCACAGCAGTCTGTCAAGGCGGAGGTGCAGAAACATCTCTCACCACGTCGGCAGATGGCTCTGTATTGCGTGTGTTGTGAGCGGCTCCTGTGTTTTTTTTTTTTCTTTTTTTTCATGTAGTCTTTTAGGAATTGGAGCACACTTTTTGGTCGTGCTCCACAAAAGGGTTTGTTAATATTGGGGGTGACACGTGGCAGCACTGCGCAAATGGCAGGATAAGTTCGTGCTTCGTGGTTCGCGATTGGAGGGTGGGTAGTGGGGAGGGAGTGTGGATAGGTAGGAGAAAAGTCGGTCACCACCACAACTTTTTCTGTACTTCAACGAATTTTATGCAATCATTTCTGTTTCTGTGTGAACGTCGTGTGACTATATGCTTCTTATTGCTCAGGCACTGATGCTTTTCTTTTGTTGTATGCGGGTTTATCGTTCACGATAATCGTTAATGATCGTCTGAATCGCGTCCACAGCTTCTATTCTCATGCTCTTGTTATTCCTCATCGCCATGTCGTCCACAACTTCTGTTCATGTTGAACACTACAGATAAAGGGGAAAGAAAAAAAAAAACGAAAACAAACAATGCACGAACCCATCGAAAAAATCACAAGAGGATTGTTAACCATTTCCCAGAATATGAACCCATCACGAGAAAATTGTTTGTTGATTACATTTCATTCCATGCACGTGGTCCTCATCAGTTCAACATCGAAGCTTCACCAACAGCATCAACCCAACGCCGAGTACTACAGACAAAATGCATTACAGACGCTACATGTGGTGGACAGAAAACACGTGCCGTCAAAAGACGGACAGCAGCATGACGCACGACGACGACCTCGCACAAATATATAAAAAAATACAAATATCTTACAATTTGAAGCAAAACAGCGATCCAAAGCACATGCGAAATAGAGGGGTGTCAACCTGCTTCGCGCCGCCACCCAACAAGCACCGAAAACCCCCACATTACCCATCCCCATGCCCACGCATTTGCGCGGGAACACCGCCGCGGCAAGGACGACATCAATAAACAACGAAAAAAAAATAACAGCGACGTCAGTGTCGATCACCCACGGCAATTGAGCCGCTTCACTGCCGAGCACCCACGACCTGGAGAAGCACACTACCGTCGACTACAACAACAAACACCTACAAACGAGCCGTCCGCCTGCTGCAAACCCTGCGAGCTAACTCCACGTCATTCTTCGCGACTCCATGACGGACGCACACGGCTTCTGTCTGTGTACGCGAGGCAGAGTGGTGCGACACGCACGATCAGATGTGTTTCATTCGCTCCGCTAGGGCATTGTGGAGCGCGTGTGCGGCGTCCGTCGATGTCAGCATCGTCACTGGCTGTAGTGGACGATGCATCCCCAGGTCCACGCGCCGCCTCGCCCCGTTCTCGTCGACCTCCCATAACAAGTTCTCGTCGAACTCGATTCCAGCATCGAGCAGGATGTTGTGGAGAATGCAGACGGCCGTGAACTGCTGCGGTAGAGTGTCCAAGTTCGTCTTGTGCGACCGAAGGAAGAGCCTCCACATCCCGTTCAACCTCCCGAACGCCCTCTCCACAGCACCTCTAGCGGCCTTCTGCTTGTTGTCGAACCTTTCCTTGTCCGGGTGCTGATTGATTCCTCCGTACGGCACCACTATCCATTCTGAAGGAGGATACCCGTTGTCGCCCAAGATGTATCCGTTCGTCCTCACCCCTCCCGGCAGCGTCACAGGCGGCCCGCGAAAAAGCGTCCCCTCTTCCGCGCGCCTCGACAAACTTGACACCTGGATCACCCGAATGTCGTGGCAGCTGCCCGGGTAGCCAACGAAGACGTCAAGCACACGCAGATCCAGGTCCACCACCACCTGCGCAATGACGGAGAAACTGTGCTTGCGGTCGAAGTAGTTCTTGCTTGGAGCGTTCGCTGGTTTGTCCACGTAGATGTGTGTGCAGTCAACTGCGCCATGGCAGTTGGGAAAGCCCTTGTCCTGAAACGCCCGTAGCACCACCTGTTTACGCACCCCCATCGGCCACGATATCCTGTCTTCGTAGACCCTCAACAACGCGGTTGTCACATCGCGCACAACTCGAACTCCGGATGATCTGCCAATGCCGAACGATGATGTGTTGTTGTCGTACGACTCTCCTGTTGCCCACCTATACAGCGCGTACGCGATGATCTGATCCGGCTAAAGCGGCTCCCTGTAAAACGTGACCTGTCGTTGCAAATGAGGCGCACAGGCTTCGGTGATCTCCATAAATACTCTCCTCGACATGCGGAGCTTTTCCCGGAAGTAGTCATCCGTCGCGTCAACGCACACCCGCAAATCCTCCCAAGTCCCGCCAGTTCTCCGCCTCATCCACCAACGTGGCATCGCCCTGGGAAGCACACCGGAGCCGATTGCAGCGCACAGCTGAACCACGGCCTCCGAAGTCGTGATGCAGTCCGGGGCGTCTAACACCCTCTGCAGCAGAAGCCTGTGTCGTCGCCTGGAAAGCGCTGCCTTCATGCGGCCAACCGCCCTCTCCGCTTCGTATCGACAGACTACGGCAACGGCAGCCGCCGCGACAGCCGTCCTCTTCGTCCGCGACAACACAGCACGGCCACCCCCATCGCATCCCTCCATTTGCGCACATCCACGAGGAAGAGCAACGTCCACTGCCACCCACCTGCGCGAATGAACGTCCGCGACGACGACCGAAGACGCCTACGACGAGGTGTGGAAGACAGGCGTGATGACAAAAATTACACAGCGATGGGAGCGTTAGTCCTCCGTCCCTGAACCACGGAAGCGCCGCTCGCATGCACGTGGCGAGCGCAGGAGCTGACACGCCGCTTCGTTTTGCCTGTGACGAACACACTACACACGGTGGCGGTGCGGTGCCGTTGAAGTACGAAACGCGACGTCAAGCCTGCGCGCTCGTCCCCCAGTCGATGTGCTCTTCCGCCTGTGCGCCGCCACACCATCGTTCCGCGCGGAGAAAATTCGAATTTCGAATTTCAAACGGGGCCGTTCCCGCGTTCGCAATTTTATTTTCCACGGCCCGTGACGTATTGCCGCCGTCCGGCTGGTGGACCACCGCGCCTCGCACACGGACATCCCGAATCGGAGGTCGGACAACACCCTCGTGGCCGTCTATAATCTCATGAAAATGGCCGCGGGACGGCCCCGAGGATGCATCCTCGGGGCTACTCTCCGAGGACAGGTGGAACGATGCCTCCAAAAATAAAAAAAAAACTCCGAGGATTCGTCCTCGGAGCTCAAGGACGCTCCGAGGAGTGTCGAACGACGCCCATTGGATCAGTACCTCTGGGCCTCAGCCCTCCTCCGTGCAAGCACGAATTGGAGCCGGCGACCTCGGCCTCAAGAGCCAAGTATCGTAACCACTACAGCCAGGACACGGTGTTCAAAAGCGGAACCATACCGGCCGTGATATCCGCCCC